TAAGCAAACTCGGGGAAAACAAGAATGAAGCAAGACCAGCGAAAATGAGACGCCTGGATCAAGGATCTACCACTAACAGGAGGAAAAAGTATAGCGAGGAAGAAAATGGGAGGAAGGGGTTTTCTGCAATAAAGCGAAGACCTTTGTCATTGAGTAATGCCCATTTAGAATAAATCACTACAACTTTAGGGGCCTGGCAGTCAGGGAGTTAAGTAGACTGTTAAGCAAACTATCACGGTAATTCGGCGTTGTGCCCAAAATACACAAGAAATCCACTTAAGATACCGCATGCGACCAGAGATAGGCGTACACAGTTTATTAAGATAACATGGGTTTACTCAAGGTAGAGGACCCGTTAAGGGAAGGCCTGATATCTGCAAGCATGGCAATCAGGGCTTAGGCTCTGCTCAGTGAGCCGGCATTGTGCGTGCTTCTAGGCCCTTGAGAAATAGCGCCAGGAGTGGCTTCACTTGTCTCTGACGAGTTCGTAGCTTGGTGCGGCGAATGGCAAAATTCACTAACGAGGCCGGCGAAACGTCTGAGAATGTATCAAGTCCACGGTCGGATGCTAGGAATCAAGACAACTACTACGGCAGACGACTTCGCGATGCCGGCGAAACGTTTGAGAATGTATCAAGTCCACTGTCAGATGCTGGGAATCATGACAACTACTATAGCAGACGACGTCCACTGTCAGATGCTGGGAATCATGACAACTATTCGGCATGCCGGCGAAACGTTTGAGAATGTACCAAGTCCACTGTCTGATGCTGGGAATTATGACAACTACTATGGTAGTCGACGAAACGTTTGAGAATGTACCAAGTCCACTGTCTGATGCTGGGAATCATGACAACTACTATGGCAGACGAATGACGAGTTCGTAGCTTGGTGCGGCGAATGGCAAAACTCACTGATGATGCCGACTACGATGCCGGCGAACAGTTTGAGAATGTATCAAGTCCACTGTCAGATGCTGGGAATCATGACAACTACTATGGCAGACGACTTCGGTGCGTTCTACATGGTCTCCCTAAAAAAAAGACCAAGTTGCGACAACGAGGTCAACTCACTTCTATACGCTATTATAATTTTTCTTAGTGAATTGGGCGTAGGCATATACAAGAAGTAAATATTGAGCGTGACGACAAGTTAGCACATGAAATCGTTGTAAGAGATGAAACAACTTCTTATCGGGGATTTTATGCTGAAAATTGCAGAGGTAATGAGGTAGACAATGTTAATTCGTTATGGCTCTCCTAGATAATGGGTTCTATTAGAGAATATCAAAGGTAAGTCTATAAAATTATACTGCAGCAATTCTGAAAATCAAAAAAAAGGTAGTACTAAAGCAGAAAAGCTCTTGTGTACGGAAGATTATTTGGGAACAATTGAATAAGGAAGAATGATAGGGAATGGGGAAGCCGAGGCGACTTGCTCCTTATTTGGCGTCCATTCTAGTTCGGTTGTTCCATAGACATGGACTTAGTGAGACTAACAGGAGACTGCTTAATTTTTAATGCTTGGTGAACGCGGTACTCTTGTGAGCGGAGATCCTACCCATTGCGACATGAAGCGTATGTGAGACGAATATAAGCGGCACCCTAAGTGGTTTCTCTCATCCTGGGAAAAGTTTATCCAGGTGAGTTGACTTGGAATGATTTACGCCGCTATTGCGGGGTCCTCATGAAATTAGGAAATTTAATTTTAGCATCCAAGGCTTTAATTAAACGTGTGAAGTCTAGTTTATCCAATTATAGGCTCATACCGCTTAGGGGTATATTATAATTTCACAACCTGAGTTTCCGACAGGCCTGTAGGCAAAAGAAAAGAATGGTTGAAAAAGGGTCCGGGATCGCGCAACCAGGCTGGGTTGCGCGACGAGGAAGTATTGCGCTATATCACAAGGTCGTCAGCAATAATTACTGGTGATTTCGCAATTTTACTCGAAAGATATTCTCTCAAAGTAGCATCTAAGGGAGTTTAGTATATACATACTATTATTTATACTACTTTAGGTAAGATTAAGTGTTAATGGACGAGTTGACTGGGGATTACTTCGACAATCGGAGAATCAGGCTTCGGAAAGTCATGAAAAGAACACGAAATTACTCTAATCCAAACTCGTGTATGGTCTGAATGCTGTAATTAGATGCTTTTAAAATATATGCATATCTATATTAGGGCTAATTGAAGGCTGAAAACGTCAAGCGGCAAAAATTAAAAAAAAATTAGCAAAATAAATAAGCTTTAAATATTTTTAGAGAACAGGGGCCACATAATTGCTGGAATTGTCGTCGCATCATGGACAGATTGGACAGCTAGCCATTTCTGTTAATTACCGGGATAAATAAATATAACTCAGCCTTAGTGCACTGTATCACATAGGGGATCTTTGAATTATTGATTGATACATATGCATTCCATCGAGAAACTCTCCGTATGACACTCTTCCATCAGAGTTGGAATCGAATTCGCGAAGTGCCCTTATTAGTGATAATTTCAACTTGTCGCTCTTTATTGTCTCATCCAGGAAGTGCGCCGGCTCGATGAAATCTCTTCCATGGGTGTCCAAAGAATTAAAGTGATCTTTAAGTGGATCTGCCTTCAACAATCTGTCGGAAGTGTACAGTTGAAGAAAGAGCTGAGAGAATCTAGGTAGGTGAGGTAACGTGGCAATTTACTTATTAATAGTAAAGTTCTGGTCTCTGTCCATTTCTTTTGTGAAATGTAATAATTCGCTTTTTGAAGGCTTTCTGCCAAAAATACATAGAAAGGCAAGCTTAATCGAGTGCTTATTTATGACATTTTCACTGCCTAAAGCATAAGATATACTTGCTGAAACCCAAGAAGGCAGACTTGTTGACATTGTGTCAATCAAGATGGGATAACCCCTAGCATTAAATCATACGATTTTTGAGTACATTTAAAAACGGAAAAGATCTATCATATGTTAAGACTATTTGCAAAATAAAAAGCAGCACTAACATAAAAAAATCTTTTTAAATAATTTGAATTTTTAAAAAGTTAAAAATGATGTTTGCTTATAAAGATTGCTATTTTCTGTCAATAGGACAAATTTTAAATGATGCACGGTTTAGGAATACAATTGTTGCTAGTTCTATCAATAACTAAAACGAAATTAAAATAAGACTTCGTAAATGCACATAATACTTTTATTCTTTATGCAATACAGCTCTAAAAAAGTAATTAGTTCGCAATATTAGTATTGTATTTAAACGAGTGGTCTACTATTTTTTGATTAGGAATTAATAAATTCCAACAATCTGATGCTTTATGCTTTAGAAGTAAGTGAGTAGAACAATCATTACATGGTCGGAAGGAATTCGTGATGTGGTCTAATCAGAAATCGAATAAGGATTCCTGCGCGTGGAATTGTGCTAAGAAGTCCTCGGCCCACCTCCCTGCGACCCCGATCAACCTGTCAGACATCATTAAAGCAATAATCCATACTTTACAAAATAGAGCAAAGATATATTAAGCCCAGAGAAAAGGTGGCATGTTTCCACCCTACTAGCTTTTCTATACACTAAAACGTACCATCTTAACGAAGCATCGCATGATTTGCATGGCACTCTAAACTTTCTTGACATGCTTGCTAATGAGTGAAGATATTTTCCGAAGCGGAAGTGCGTAGCATACAAGCTATTTCCTTACACAAATAAATTCATTTACGATCCTCAACTGTTGAGTCATATTTGGGCCTGAACTATTGTCTATTTTGTGCATATACGAGGAGTAACTGGTTTCGATGAATCTCCTGAGATAACCTTCTTGGATGTGCATGTAATGTGCTCATGAAATAGGAACTGTGATATTCTAAGCTAGACTCGAAGCTAATCGAGCCTCCTTCTCTTATACAGTTGCTCTTCATGCACTCATTCTCTCTCACAGTCCTTTATCCTATCCGAAACGCCACAAATTGCTCCTACTCACCTTTCTGCACTCGTTTCTCTTATTCAGGTAATTGGCTGTTTTGGTAATGTCTATAAAATCCCTAAATTTACGATTTGATGTGAAGTCTCTGTAAACCTTTAAAATGTGTTTGATCAGCCAATTAAGTCTCCTGTATTGGCCATGTTTTCAGCGAGCTCAGAGTTATGGGCCCATAGACCTTTGCATAATCTCTTCTTGATGATTCTTCCCCACATAGATCCTACCATACGAGTATAGAACCTTGTAGTGTCCTAATCTAAAAAGGAGGCCTAAAAATTATATAAACAAAAGAAGGATTAAAATAAGTGTGAATTTCTCCTTATAATTTGCTTTTAGGTTCCATTTCCTCAGTAGATCACCCGACATTTTTTCAAGCTGACAGGAAGATAAAAACAGGAAACGTGTAGAATGGTCCATTTGTCTATACCACCCCAGAAAGCAAACTGTCAACGAGAAATTATATGCGAGTGTCTACTAGTCCGAATATTTAATTGTTTTGAACCAGCGTATGCAACTATATATCTATCTCCTGGTCCCAGTGGTTTACATCTTCTACACGCAAATTTCTAATTATCATAGACTTCACAATTTATATTTTGACAATATGTGTGGTTGGTGAAGAAATCAACAAGGAAACCTGCATATGTAGGTTTCCTATATACGTCGGCACCTAACTTACTAACTAACTTGCACACTAATGCATCCGGATCTATCGTGGTTCTATCCATAGTGCCAAGTCTATGCCTTCCTATACTCTTACGTGTCATTGCAAAAATGCCATAGTTCTACAGTGAACCTGATAAAAACAAGTAGGACCACAAGAGGCTAGTACACTATACATAGAAGCACTAAGGGTGCCTCGGAGATTGGAGCTTGTTGCCTAATAGAAGAGGTGTCTGATCATAGACGTGAACAATGAAGCAGTATTAACCACGAAAACCATTTTCCAAATCACTGTCCCGGCCATCCAGAGAATCCACATTTTTAGGGGCTTATTCAGCGAGGCGGAAGTATGCGTGCAATCAAAATCTTGTTGGAAATAACGCTTCGAGTAATACAGGTAGGGTGGCAGGGGTCGAGTAAAATCCCTAAACAAATATGACCAAGTCGCGGAAGTAAGGTCAAACAGCTATATCTTTGCCCTGTTGCCAAACGCCAAGCCAACCGCTTATACAACGAATTACTTGGGAGCCTCTTGAAGGATCCGAACTTATAATTAAGCATTCATCTATTGGCTAGAATAGGGGCTATTGGATCTTGCTGGGATACTCAAGGTTTTTAGGCCACTATAATCAAAATTATAATTTATATTGCTGTATCCCTCCTTTGTATTACATTAATTTGACCTATTCTTATAATTTCAATATTGCAACGGTGAAGATAGTTTGAGAATCCCCCCGTCATAGCAATTTAATTTAAATTCCAGCATAATATCTTAAACATTGTCCATAAGCAGACGTGTTACCAGAACCGTCTTTGGCCTCGTATTCAAACCTTGCTAATTTAAATACCTAATTTCTACCGGTCAAAAATATCAATTTTACACTGAAGACATTAGACATATCACGTCCAAGTATACTCACAAGCCATGTATATAATTAGGATATATTAGATGTATTCACCACATTCCGTTTGAGGTGATGAAGATGTAACGGCAGAATTTTTCCATAATTATTAGAGCTGACGTTTCCATTGAATTTCACATAGCCCTTCTTTCCCAAAAGTTGTTATCATCCAGAGTATATTGCAGTTTCAACCTCACCTAGGTCTTACCGACACCCCCATGGGAAGTAGAATCCTGACAGGGCCGCAAGTGAGCTTAACACGTTAAATATTCAGCCAGGCCTTATCCCAATCTCATTTTCAGTTTGACATGCACATCAAACCGCTACTCCACGGACAATCGCCACGATCAAACACATGAACCATTAACTTGATCACTTCATAAACCTGCTTCTCAGGCTTAATTAATTCTTCTAAATTCTCTCTCCCATTCGCAAATTAGACATTCATGCGAGGCACGAAAGCTCTAAATAGCAAGTTGTGCCGCTAATTCATCTTCTATTATGCCATTCTACACTTCCGCAAAAAAGGCATACTCGAATCGTGTGATAACTCGTAGTGTATGCAAAAATTGACACATTAAAGTAGTTCTCCAGAGATACATCCTATCTGAGATTAGAAATTGGGTTTATTATAATTGATATTCCTAACTATATCGATAAAACGGAACTTTATATGACAAAAGAAGAATAAACTGCTTAATTAAAATAATTCATCAAAGGATTACCGACAGTGTCATAAGATTCTACAGTAACACATTTATCGCTCTATTAACCTTTTCAGAAAAAAGCTAAAAAAAGTAAATTCCTTGTAAATAAAGAATAATCTATCTTGTGGAATATCCTGTTGTAAAAAAGTATGTCTTTATATTATATATATATATATATATTTACATTTTAGTATATACTTCTGCTTCGATAAAGAGTCGGTTATAAAAAATGGCATCCATTTTAACTATAAAAGGCCTGATGCGTCCAAGAAAGACGTAATTCCTAAGATGTTTGAAATTATATTCGTTATGTAATGAATAAGGTGTTGAATGCAATATTAATAAATCTAGTGGGTATAGAAGAATATAAGAGAGCAACGAAAAAAATATAAAGCCAGTTTTGTTCTTCAGAAAGCAGACGAATGAATATATTTATGGGTATCTAATTCAAAAATAGGAAAAATAGGAAAAATTCGAAGTTCGTACTGAGTCTGAGAGAAAAACATCCAACCGAATATAAATATATAACAAAAAAGTGTAAATTCAGATTTTAGGTTTTTGTAAACAGTCCGGGTGAGGAACGTCATTGAAAGGGAAACGAAGGTAAAGTAGGAGGGATAATTGTGTAAAAATGACTAGAAAATCAGCGCTGATCATCTCAATGAAAAAAAGTCTATGAGAGGACAGCCAAAATAAATGATAAATAAAAAATTGCTAAACATAAGTTTGGTCAAAAATAAATTGGTAGACCTGGAGAAAAATGAACAAGAAAAGTAACTTCGCTTCTGGAGACAAAATTAAGTAGTTATTCACTTTTTAGCATCTGCGATTCAAAAGATCAAATTAAACTTCAGCTATCGTAAGCTAAAAAAAGATAGAAGGTGAAAATAACTTATGAATATATGCAATTTATAAGGTAGCAAAAGTTAAATAGGTAGGCAACGATCAGACTGGTAAATTGAGCAGAATGACCTTGAAATTAAAATAAATTGAAGTTAAAATATAGCCCTTTCTTAATTGTAGTTTAATTAAATTCTAAATTTTCATTCCTGATATCATGCGTGACGTAAAAGGATTAATCGAAGATATGAAGACCAAGATACTGTGACCTTTTGTGTGGTCGCAGTCTTCTTTCGTTGTATACAAGTTATTTGACCATGTTTTTGAAAATTGCTTATATTGGTAGGAAGATTTAGAGGAAATCACTTAGTTCGGAGTCCATTGTATGGATGATAATTTCCAAATTCGGACTGTGGACGTGGTACAATCCCAATCGTTTCGCCGACATAGTCGATTAGTTTTTCATTCTTTGCACCATATTACAACTCATCAGAGACAAGTGAAGCCGATCCTTCAACCAATTATCTGCTAGGCCAATCTCCTTCTGTCCTTGCTATTCACCTCTCTTAAATCCTCGTATTACACCTTCATCATCACAATTTTTCCTTGCTTATTTAAATGTAGTGTGGTGTGCCCTTTTCAGAGGCTTTCAAGAGAACCATCCACACTCCACGCTGGCGTTTTCGCCCACCTTCAATATTGTGCTGGTAATGTTGATCAGAGTCTGCCATATTGTTATGCAGTCCTCTTTTCCCAGGTCTTATCATAATCTCCATCTTGCCCCGTAGGATCCGTCTGCTATCACGCTGGTTCAAGTATTTCACTCGACCCTTACCACCTCATTAGTGCTGATCCAGGCGTTATTACTCATCCCCTGCGTCTAGGTGACTAATTCGAGGCTAAAGCCTCTGAGTAATTCTCATGGTCAAGCCTTTGTTACATGGACCACGTCTATGGTAAAACAGGTCTACTGTCAGCCAACTAGCTTCAGTCTTCGCGGCGTCTATCCTGTTTCTATCCGTAATACCAAGTCTATGACATGCTATGCCCTAGTCCCTTGTGAGCCAACAAACAAACGTTGTGGTTCAACATTGGACCTAATCAAAGCAAGCAGTAACAGAACATTTGTGGGTTAGCACACAAGAGACTAGGGAATAGGAAGTCATAGACTAGTATTAGGGATAGAAACAGGATAGACACGACTAGAGCTAATTGGTTGACAGTAGGCCTGTTTTAGCATAGAGGTGGTCCATGCAACAAGGGCTTGATCATGAGAATTAATAAGAGGCTTTAGCCTCGAATTAGTCACCCAGACGCAGGAGATCTGTAATAACGCTTCGAGTAGCACAGATGGAGTGGCAAGGGTCGAGTGAAATATTTGAACAGGGAGATAGCAGACGGATATTACAGAGCAAGAGGGAGACGCTGATAAAGCCTAGGGAAGTAGGACTGCGTAACAATATGGCAGACCGATCAACATTTCAGGCACAAGAGTGAAAGATGGTGAGAACGCCACTTCACATGTCTCTGGAAGAGTTGTAGTATGGTGTTAAGAATTACAAGACTCACCGACGATGCCGGCAAAACGTCTGAGAATGTACCTCCTCCAAGGTCCGACTTTGGAACTTATCATGCATACACTGGACTCCGGACTGGATGCGTTCCTCTAACTCTTCCTACCAATATGACCAAGTTGTGAAAAACAAGGTCAAACAACCTCTAAAAGTATTAGTGTTCCTCTAAGGTCATTTGATTTTGCCATAGCGTTTAGGTTAATACAGTCTTCGATGCATTTTACCTTGGTTTTACTAAGAGTAGTCTGAGCTTTCGTCCATAATATAGGACGTCCACAAAGTTGGATATCATTATCATATTTTTTATTAATATATAGGTGGTTAAGGTCTTGTCTCTTTACGTCTCCAATCTTATTTGCAAATGTTCGCATACCGCGGAACAACTCTAAAATCAGCTGTCCTTACCACAAGTAAAAGAGTTATTATAATGGAGTAAAAAATATGATAAGGCAGTTGCTGAATCACATGCGAACAATTCCGATTTAATGTTTGCTCTTAACTTTCTTTCGGCTCACGTAATACATATCACAACTCCCGTCATAGATGAGCAGTTTCAGCTGACAGCGGTTACCGTGTTCAAAAGTAGTAGATCGACCTTAGCAGAACAGAACAGAGGATAAATTATGCCCTGCAGGCCTTTGATATTACTACGACTCTCAGATTTTTGTTGTTCACTTGATGGCCTCCTCCGGTACAGGTTAAAACTTACTGGGCCTTTCTCTGTCAAATTTCTATCGATCTTCTGAGCTGGATTTCATCTTTGAGGAAAACTTCAAGCTGGCAGTAAGAAAAGCGTATGAAGAAGAGGCAGGTATTCTTCTTGCTTTGGTGTTCATTTCAAAGATATATAAGAATCATCTAAAGTTTTTATAGGGCATATCATATGAAAGGTAAAAGCTCAAAGTCTATTGACCCCTAAACGAAATAATATGTTTGACATGATCCGATGAGATAAATCTACGAGTCTCTTCGATGACCCGATCCTGACATTAGGCTCTTAAAATCACAGATATGTAGGACGCTATTCGGCCATGGCCAACATGAAAGAAAACTAGCCAAAATATTCTATATCTACCCATATCTACATAGTCTCTTCATTTAGTTGAGTATATATGAGGTAAGATAGATCTGGATGGCCTTCTTGACCTAGTTTTAACTTGAAAGTTATGAAAGAGTGAGTTTCAGTTATAATGATGTCCATCATACGATGGACAAAAGCTCAGCTCGTTTTCACCCGAAATGAGACGGGATATCTCGTGAATTGCGTCAGCCATAACGCCGTATTTAAGCCGAACGGCTGCAGTACAAATGGAGATTGACCTTAGAGCATCTTCATCATATAGCCCATACGGAATGAATATTTCCCCAACAGAAATAAAGCTTCCCGATAGTAGTCTTCATAACATATTTCACCAGTCGCCAAAATCGGCTAAATTTTGATTAGCCAACTCACCTCTTCTTCAGGGCTGATTCCACTTGACATAGGAGCTTCAACTTGATCCTTACATACTAAAGATTCGCTCAATGCCAGTTGACTAGAATGCGGTGAATGGATATTCTGGTGAGTATGTTTGAGAGACATAGTTGGCCCCAAGGCAGGCACTGGCACCTGTATTTCCGCTAAAATCATGTCTGGCTCCACCTCTTGTTGATTGGAAACTGAATGATGCTGTTGGTTATGACGCGGTTCAACATGTCGCGATTGGCGGTGCTGGTGATGATTATGATGGGGTTTGTGACGATTTTGAGGTAGCTGAAGCGACTGACTAGTTTCACCATAACACTGGAGAATGCTGTCCTCTGATAGAGCTGAGTGATCCTCTCGAGATTTGTGGCTAGAAGTGTGGCCGCTTCGAAAGACGGGTGATGTATCTTTTAGTTCTACGTACGCACCAGGCCCATTTGCTAATTCTGGCTCTTCAATCAGCTGCAGAAGCTGTTTTGCTTCTTTCTCTTTACTGCAATTCCCTAGTATAGAAGGCTCTCTTTCCTTTCTAAGTGCTTGCCTAGCCTGGGTTTGAGGTGAACGCTTTCTTCGCTGTGTGGAGTGACGAGGCACAGCTGGACCAAGAGGGTATTGGAGTTGAGAGCTTGGGGGTGTATGAGCGGACGAAGGGCGTATCGGGGGTCCAAATGTATTCACAGGAAGAGCGGAAAGATGAATATCGCTAGATGTTTGAAGTTCGTCTAAAACAAAATGACAGTCAGAAACGCCTAGGAATTTCAAAAACATGAGAAAAAAATTCAATTAATATCTTAAATATTACAACTAGAATGTGCTACTGATTTTTGATTCCATTTTTTTG